CGGTTTTAAAATCCCGTTGTGTAACGCAATATATACATTCAACCAACGTATACGTATTTATCTGTATATATTTATTTCTGTTTATATATTTATTTATTTATGCTTATTCATATATTTATTCTACCAAGAATAAGAATACCCCATTGCCTGGCCAAAACACTAAAAAAATTGTTCGAAAGACCGAAAATTATTGGATACAATCAAAACAGCTATAGTGACCCCAGTTATAGTTTAAGTGTGATACGCTTCCGTACAGTCAGCTCTCCAACAATTTTGAAAGACAGAAAAACAGTGTTAATGAATGTTAACACCTCATCATTTTCGACAGATTAAAAGTTGCCTGGTTGCTTCTAGGGGATATTTAGCAACTTCTGCAGTTTTAAAATCAAAAAAGTTAGATAAATAAAAACAGAGATCAGTTTCCAACATCACTTTAAAGCTTCAGTTACAATCTCTTAAAAAGCTTAACATCTAAAACGTTAAAGTATTTCGTGCAGAAAGATAATTACCGTCAGCGGGATTGATCAAAACACTAAAAACATTTCTCTGATTTCATAGAACCAACAGGCACATGAACTATGTTCGTCGCCGGAGAAAACTTGTGGTATACTTAGCCAAAAGATAAGTAAAAAAACAGCAGATTTACTGGGAGTATCATGTTAATCAACTCCACTTCTTTAGCCCTCGCACCATTTGCACCAGCAAAGATGTCTTTCCGTACCAAAATCGAGTCATATGTTCGTACATAGTTACAGCTTTAAGATTCACATCCTTCGCATCACAGAAAGTGCAGTACAAAGATGTAACTTTAGCAATTTTTTTTCAAAATCGCGGCATAAATAATCAGAAGCGATGCTAAAACATTAAGAAAAAAGGTAAAAAAGGAAATTATAAAAAGTGTGTCTGAAAACTGCATGAATAAAGAATAAACAAAGAGAAGTGTACACCAAGACTGGTTTTTACCAGCGCATTTTTAGACCGAAATTGCTGTTGCTCTTGACATTTCAGATTTCGCCATGTAGTATTCAAGTCTCTATTTCTTTTTTTCATATTCGGCTGATGTAACCTTCTTTGCTTAATCGGTTAAACTTCCAAGGCATCAATTCTTGAATGAGAATTAGAATTCAAATTATACTGCAACCACAGCAGCAACTCCTATACAAATTTGCGCGCTCATATATATTTGTTTACTCATCTATTTGTTTTTACTTTCTTAATTAATTAATTAATTATTTATTTATTTATTTATTCATTTATTTATATATTTATTTATTCATTCATTAATTCATCCATTCATCTATAAACTTATATGTATATATACTGACTAATTTAATTTTGTAAACACATTGTTTACTGTTAAAAAGCGAATTTTATGAAGCATTAAATTAGCTAAACAGCTTACAAAATGGAATAGAGCGTTTTTATTGCTTAAACTAAACTTCCTTTCTACAGTTCATCAACAAACTGTGAAGTGCAACAATTTTTTTTATTTTTTTTTTTGTTAGTAGTATTATCAACACACATCTACGGAATAACAGACACTGGGCTGTAAGCAAAGAATAC